AGTGAGAACCAAATCACTGAAAGCCAAATTGGTTTACGCCTTGGTCGTGGCTGTATCGACCAGGCATTTACTCTTCGCTAAGTTTTAGAGCAGAGACACGTGTACAGCCGACTGGTTTTCCTTGACTTGAAAGCCCCCCTTCGACTCTGTTGATCGCACCAGCTTGTGGCACTGCCTATCCACGTAGGGCGTGCCGGCTAAATTCCTTACCATTATGCAGTCTGTCCACCGGAACTCCAGAGACAATGTAAGGGTCTACGGGCAACTGTCTCCCACGACAAGTAGGGATCGCTAGGGTTGTCCTGTATCTCCTTTCCTCTTCAGCTTTGTGCTCCAAATGAAACTTTTTTCAGTCTACCGGAGTAGTAGTTCTGCCAGGTGTCCGACTGACAAACCTGGAGTATGTGGATGACATATCTCTTCTTGGGTCTGACGCAGTGGCTATGCACACACTCCTGGCTGAACTGACACGTGGCGCTGAACGCTTTGGCATGTGCTTTGCATCTTCAAAGTGCAAAGTATTGCTGCAGGACTAGACCGACACACCTCCGGTTCTAGCTATCACTGAAACTAGCCACTGAAACTGGTGAACCGGTTCACTTACCTTGGTAGCTGTGTCACCTCTTGATGGTCACATCACTGAAGAAGTTATTTCGTGTATCACCAAGGCCCGTGTGGCCTTTCAGAGACTGAACCATCTATGGAGATGGTGGAATTTTAGCCTGTTAGTGAGAGGTAAAGTGTATAACGCTGTGGTATGACCTGTCTTACTGTATGAATCAGAGACCTGACCAGTTCGCAGTGAAAACCTTAGACGCTTGGCCGTGTTTGACCACCGGTACTTGCGGAGTATTGCTCACGTCTGGTGGGAACACCGGGAGGGCATTGCTGAGGTCCGCTAGAAGCCTTCTAGTGCCTCACTGAAGTGTTTGCTGAATCTTAATCGCTTACGTTGGCTGGGCCATGTCCTCCGTATGCCCGTTGACCGGCTTCCTCGACGTGCAGTTTGGGCCGTGGCGTAACCAACTTGAATGAAACCGCGAGATAACCAGTCTATGACGTAGCATAGATGCTTAAATAAATTAACTGAGAGAGTTGGTCACACTGGTGCGTGCCGTTTTCCTTGGCTTGGGCCTCCGGATAGTCCACACCAATGGTTGGAAACCGTATCATACATGGCGCAATCACGCAGTCAGTTTCGTTCGGTTTCTTACCTTTGCTAGTTAATTTTTGTTCCGTTCAGCTTAGTTTAGCGCACTCCTTGTTTCCCTTTTCTTTACATCCTATTTACCTTCAACTCCACTACCTTGCTGTTGTTATTCATTGTTGTTCTTGCGAGTTGGGTCGTGGCAACTGAACCCCTCACACTTCGGCCCTTGGATCAACAGCAGCATCAAGGACAACGACATCCGATTTTTCAATTCAGCTCAAAAACCGGTGAATATCAACATAATCCTCTTTGACCGGGTCGCGTCGGGGATGTTAACTGGTGCACGGTACCGAGATTCCTCAGCTGTGAATCTGGAGTATGCGCTGGATTTATTTGTCGTTCAGTCTTCACGAGTGTTTGTGCATTAACATAAACTACTCGAACAGAGAATTATTTCTGGGGAGGGCTATATGTTGAGCTCCATTCGATTTGGCGAAATCCCCAGCAGAAGTGCACTTAGGAGAACGATATTTATCATCACTAAGGATATGGGAGCACCAAGGATTTGACTGGTGTAGGTTGTAACATCAGTAGTTTTCGGCGATGCCACTCCATTTTGATCCAAATCGATAGGTGATTCTCCGATCCTTTGACTTACTAGCCTCTTCCTATTGCAACGGAACGAAGTATTGGAATTGGGCTCATTTCGAACCTTTGACTGTTTGCTTGGTTCATGTGCCTTTTGCTTGGCCCAATCATTGCCATGAAATCAGTGAACATCCGTTGGAACACATTGCCCGCTTTGTAGCCACTCACATCTGCTACTTCATGGTATTGTTAGTCGAACACGGTGGTTTCCGCAAGGCGATGAGGGTATCTAAGCGTCCTGGAGCAGCACCACTGCTCCATTCTCTGAGTCTGAAGGATCACGGACCTCCTAGTTTTCCCACCAGTCATTTCGACAAGCTAGCTGTTTCTCTTATAACAATGTCGCCTCCCCACTTTCCCTATTTTTCTCCGTTTTCTTTCCACTGTTGACTTTGCATCTTGTAGATCCTTACGATTATGGGGGCGCTGGACATCGCAACAAGTTCCATGGCACTTCGACTTGGTTTGCTCCCACGAGATACGATTGGCACTTTGTCTCTGTAATGTTTTTTAGGATCTAGATGGTTTGCATCGACATGCACTATTTTCTTTTAGCAACATGCCGTGAGTAAATATGATGCCCTGATATTTAGCTTTGAGCTTCCGTGTATTTGTTTCGTTTTCGTTGCGCAGGTAACTGTTAGCCCCGCGTTGTTTTTCGTCCGGTTGGTTTTTCATAGATGTTCAGTCATTAGGCTGATTGAAACTTCTACTCTCTTCGTTGGAGGTGGATACACTGATTCGGGAAGGTGGCCCGCAGATTGCCCTCCTTGTCCTACTTTTAGGCCTGTATATGAGTAATAACGTCCGAAAAAGTTGCGCCATCACTTACTGAACCCCAGCGGATCAGTGCATGTTTGGCTGAGTTGATCAATTGTGCTCCGCTCACCGAAACACTTAATCAGTATGCGCCTTTCATCACTGCAACGGCTACATTGATTATTTAATTTCCCGTTGCGTCGATTGCTGCAATGAGGCCGTCTGCTATTCTGCCGGTCATACCGTTAAACGGCGTTCTGGGGCAATTCGTCTCTATTCCAGCTTCTCTGTACTACTTGTAAGGTCGTGTAATAGTCGGCTTCCTCTGATGTTTACTATGGCAAATGGAACGCATCAACATTGACGCCGATTTGATGATAAATGACTGCAGCTTCCTTATCAATTCTTACTGATTCTTACATCTCTAGAGTGATCGACTGACAGATTTTGGGTTCATGGACAGTATAACTGTTTGAGATCTGACCCGCCTCGCTCCGTCACATGCGCATAGGCATCCCAGAGCAAACATGGTAACTTCAGCTGTTATTCAACTGTTTTGACAACCCAACCGTCCAATCGCCTTTGTCATCATATTAAGTATGCAACAAGTGCAGCTATTCTCGTGAGATCAATCGACTCATATTTCTGTGCTGTGTGAGCAAATTGTCCATTTTCTCTTGACTTTGTTTCTCAGCGGTTGCGTGCAGAAAATGGCGTGTTGGTCCAGCGACTGGCTCGATTAGAGGAGGTGAGTTCTGACGTGTTGTTCTTCTCCGCCTTTTTTGCGTTTTGCGTGCATTCACACTGATAACTTAACTGTGCATCTATCTTCCCCATGAATATGTTTTCTTTCCTTTTTATGGCTTATTTATTGTTTCAAGTGTTTTGGCGGAGTGTCCATTACTCTACATAGTTAGATTACTGCCGCTTCTCTCATAACTACGATCCGCCCCTTCATGGACACGGTTTCTCGATCACTCGAGAAATACCTTTTATCATTTCCATGTGTCTTCTGGTCGTATAGTATAAGCCTTCAATTGATGCGTATATGAAGCTCGCCTCAATCTGATATCACTTCGTCCACACTTCTCAACTTCCCCTAACTTAGTATTGATAAAACCTAAGTGCTCTCTCCAACTCATTGTGTGTTATTTTTGCTTTTTCCCGACATGGTTTGTTGGAGTTAGCATTCTCCAGTTTTGACTGGAATTCTGACTTCATTCAAAATAATGGAAGTATGCGAATTGAATTGTTATCGGGATGCCTGTGACATCTCATTCCGATAGTCAGAATGCCTCCCTCGAGCTTTTTCCTGGTGGCGCTTTTCTCGTGATCGTGATCGTCATTAATGCCAGCACTAATCCGAACTGCCGGCATCGTTTCATTCTGCTGATATTCCATGTTCAACATGAAAAAGTGATTCTATGTGGCGGTCTGGAAACAAGATGATATTCCCAAAAAATATTTTGCTCAGTTTTGTCACTTTATCAACTCTTTAGTGGGTGCTGATCCATCATCGCTGTGACACAAGAAATCGCATACTGTGTACTCCCTGTTACTCTACAGAGATTGTTGCTATATTACTCTGATCACATCTCACCACATTCCAGGTTGGCTGAAACCTTAGGGCGCCAGCCACCGGACTTTGAAGTCCGGAAGTATTGTGCTCAAACTCCTTGACTGTTTGAGTTTGTCCCCTACCAAGTGATGCTCTTCGAATTCCTTACCCGGGCTTGCACTATCTTTCACACTGTGAGATACTCGGTATCGTTTCACGCGACCATCTCCTTATGTTTTCTTCCTGCTTACCCATTGCTCTTCCTTCACAGCGTTTTAAAGTGTTCCGTCTTTATTCGTTGTCGAGTAAGTGGGCTGTAACATACAGCTAGAGTTCATCGTTAACCGTGTGTTTAACTCTGGACTTCTGTGTGTATTCACCCGTATTCAATGTACGTTCATGGTATTTTGCATTTATCACTAACAGTCGGATCAGACGTCAGTCTCAGGAGTTATATGAATACTGGATTACTTGCTTTACTTCAACTTTACACAGAATCCCCAACGTTTCCTGTCCAAAATCAATCACTGTTCAGCTTATCTTGTCCCTGCTTTCTGTGAGTTGTCCATGACGCTTTCAGTGCTTGGACTAGCGCTTTAACTAGTATGCACTACTCCTATAGGGACACCATGCTGGAAGAAATCCAAAAGTGAAACAAATACTTTTATTAAGCAACAGTAGTCACTATTAAAGGAAATAAATATTGATCTAAAAAGGTGGAAAGGGTGTCATGGCTAACAATCATCTTCTTCAGTTTCTTGCCCTTCTTTTATGACAACATTGGAACGCGACTGATAAGCAAGTGGGAAGGGCCGTTATAGCAACGGTTCAAATTTTGTTCCCGTGCTGTATTTCCATCGTTCTCTGCTAATCGGGCAACATCCCCAGTGCTTAGTCGTAACCCACTTTTACAAGCACCTCTATTTCAGCGGCTACTTCAGGTGGTGGATCGGCCAATTTGCTATCGACTTGGCCGGTATTTTGGCTTGAAACTATTGTAGTCTGCCGCCATGGGCTAACTGTTGGGAACATCGAAAATACATACACGCAGTATCGGACATAACCCAATCCATTAGTTAGGAGCACACTCACTTGCGGTTGGACTTCGTCAGCATTCGTTGGGCTTGATTCTGATATTAACCAACAAGTTAACCAACTTTCTTGCCATCTATCCATTTTTCTGTTGTTGAGCATCTTTCATTTGTACGCACGCAGCCTGACGTGTTTGTCGAAGTGATTCTAGCATCCTAGTCTGGCTGCACTTTTCACACTAGGGGCAGATATAAATCCGAGAGTAGACGCGATGTTCTCCCCGTCCACATAAAGTACGGTGTTTCTTTAGTTGAGAACTGAACCGGACTTCGGTATGCAAACAAGTAAATTCGGGACTATGCGTCTGCATTAACGTGTTGTTTACCTATCCTGTGTCTGCGTACGAAGTCGTATTCCTGCAACTGATCTTGCCAGTGCGCGATTTGTTCTTCGGGATCTCTGTACATTTGGAGCCAACGAAGGGAGTGCTGTTCGGTCCGTTCAGGCAGATACTGCCGATTCTGCTGGCATTTCCTTTTCACTCGTGCAATGATTCTTTTCTGTTGAGCTGACGCTCCTGGTCCTGTTGGACAATACTCTCCATCTCATCCGGTCCTTTCTGTGACCAAACGGCTTCAGTCGCCTAGACACTCGCATCCGTGTCCAGAATGAATTCTTCCGCCAGTGTACGCTTGCACAGGAGTTGCGCAGAGAAACTCGCGTAGCCGGTCGAGTGCTTTCTAACATTCTGATGGTGATTCATAACTACGACGTTCTTGTGGCAGTGCATTCAAGGGTGCGGCAATAATAGAAAATCCTTTGAGTAGTCGTCGATAATATAAAGCCAGTCCGAGAGAACTACGTAACTTCTCAACATACGTACGGGTCGGTCACTACTTTACTTGCTCCGTCTTACGCGAGCCTGTTCGGATGGCCGACTCCGGCTGATGCATCCGGATACATCCCATCTTCCTTCAGTGACACTTAGATTCTTTGAATTTGAAACTTATCCCGATGAGACGTTTTAGTTCTTCGGTATAGGTTGATAAAGTTCTTGTTTTATTTCTCATGCACGATGATATTATCCAGTTAAAAGATATAATTCCATGGGATCAGTTCATACAATACCTACTGCACCAGGAGCTGAAAAGCCGCAGAGGCGTTTGGTAGCCGAAACGGCATAGTTTAGAATTCAGACAGTTCAGACAGCAAGGTGAGGTTAGTCTACGTTTTTTTAACATTTTCGTTCGATCGTTCTCCGCACCCTCACCTGTCAGTAACTTGCAGCAAGATTAAGTATTCCGACACAAGCGGACACGCAGGCACCCCTGGATCTCTAATCAACTATAGACCTGTCTCTCTCGCACGATTCACCTGTTGAAGTTCGCTGCTATGTTAGCAAAGAAAACAACATTTTTGGCCGCGGAGGCTAACTCGCCATGGTCACGAGACGTTTTTATAGATCACATGCCTAAACTACCAATCACATTGATCTATAAAAGCGCACACGCGTGGCTACCCGGTTCATACTTACGCATCGCTCCGTTCTGCTCCGCTATACACTAACACACCGGATGATTTCACCTCCATTGGTGATCTCACGAGGCGGGGCCTTCAAACATCATAGCTGTACTCTTCTGTTTCATCCTCGATATCACCTACACTCACGCTTTTGGCGATTTGTTGCTTTTGTTTTCCTGCACCAGGTCGTACAATAATCAAGGCCATGATAACCTACCTTCGCGCTATTTTAAAATCCCCGTGTTTCTACTCCACCGAACGCTCCGGCTTTCCATAGTCAAACTGTAAAATTTAAACTGAAGCGAATCTACAAGGTTCACAACAATTCTATTAAAGAGCATCGTATTACTCGATAGGTTACTCTACAGACTATGAGCATACCCAGTATACTTACCTCAGATATCCCATCAGTTATATACAGTATGGATGAGATTAAGAGCAAAATCTGCTGTCACGAATACTCGAAGCTAGGCGTAATTATGCTTCACAAGACGTGACTCCATGAGGATATGGACGACACAGTTGTAGCGATTGAGGGACTGATTTACCATCATGTTGATCGGCCATGTACGTACTGGCACCGTGGAGAAGTTTTTACTTATATAAATCCATCGTGGCACATGTCAACAAAAAGTGTAGTACTAACTGCTTAATTTTGAAATGTAAGCCAGGATGTTTAGGCGGATACTAATCGCTTTTGGTGACAAACATCTACATTTCTTCCAGATGTCCCACCTCTGGAGAAACGAATATTTACCTTCTATACAATATAGCTGTCATCGACCATCTTGATTATTTCTGCTTTTTTGCCGATAATTTCAACCGAGTTGAGACAATCTTCCCCCACAAATTTCGTGTTGTAAATTGTTGTAAACTTCCTCACTAGACTTAAAGCAACTCTAGACATTTTATTTGTTGACAGTGCGACGTTGTTTTTGTGTGCAATTGGGCAACGATTGGTAGCTCTGGTCATTCACATGTCAACTTATCTGTTCGCTACAGCAAGGGTAATCACATGGTTACTTTATGTAAAGACGTCTAGCTTAATAAAGACATCGCTCAGCTCAGAACATATATAAACTGCAAGAGATGCTTGCATCCGCGGACTTTCTCATAATTGTTGTTACTAATATCTACGTACTTTCGCCAGTTAGCGAACTCCATCAACCTTTGCTTTGATACATACTGTCTACTGGAGGCTGTTTTCATCCGTGCGGATCGGTCCTCATCTTCATACAGGAAATGCCTGTTTAGACTCAAAGGAAAAGCCTCCAACAGTATAGACCATGCAGCAGTGAATTCTATTTCTATCAGGGTAGAGTTGCGCCGTCTAAACCACCCATATGTCCGGACCATACTCGCAGGTTTGGGCGGTTAGTGAAACAACTTAGTGAAATCTCTCACGGTGTGTCGAATCCAGACGTTGAGCTTAAAAAATGGGATCACACCTTTTGTTGCTTCACTGCTAACTCCGCTTTTTACCCTTTTTCCCCCTAATTGGTTTGGCTCATAAATTGTTTATCTACCATTGACAGAAACACATTGCACAATAAATTGCTGCAGCTGAATTCCAACAAAGCAAGTGGCCCAGACGAACTATCTGCCGTTGTGTGTGCTGATTTCCTGACCTAGTCGCT